TGATCCATGATGATTTAAGATGATTTAGGATGATTCATGATGATTTAAGATGATTTAGGATGATTCATGAAGATTTAATATGACTTAATGTAATTTATCTGATTTAAAGTGAGTTTGTTCTCAAAGTAATTCAAGTAAATTTCTTGCATATATAAACTTCTAGAGATACTTTGTGATTGTTGTTTTTCTCAGAAAAAGCCGCTTAAATGTATTATGCTTGTGTTTAGTATATTGGCACCGTGTTTAGCGTTGCTGCTAGCTCTATCAGTTAAGACAGCAGAAGAAGATACGAATAAATGTCCCTTCGAAGTGATGATTGGTCTGACGGATAAATACATTCCACTGAAAACAAAATTGTATCTTTTTACTTTCTTTATTTTATATTTCCGTTTTATCAGATATTTTATCGTAAATGTACGGTAGGCTGCACATTGCTGCATTATCGAAAAAACGGAACAAAACAAACAGCAATAATAGATAAATATGAATAAACAATACGGAAAAGTCATTATTTCTCTTGAACCCTTTTCAATCTATCGGAAGACAAAATGGGTTTAGTTCTAGAAAAGTACCAGTTTGCTGTCTGCTTGTGCATATATTTGTTTTCACCATTTAATTCAACACAAAAGAAAGATTCATTGTGAGAGTCGTCAATAGAATCGAATATTCGCATGCCATGAATGGTAGAAGTAGATACTGAAGGAAGAATATCAAGATCAAGCTCATCGATACCCAATAATTCATCATTATCATCCATTGCGTCATTTCCACTAGAATGTTCGCTGAGCTGTTGTCGTTGATAATTTTCATTTTCCTCTTCGCCCTCCTCGTCTTGCTCTTCATCATTATTTGATGCACCAGATTTCTTCTTAGATGTTCTACATTTTGATCTTGCTAGCTTTTTATATGCTAGCCGGTTCACTTCTTCAAAAGATATCACTTTTCCTTTGGAATCAAGAACAGAAATTCCACAATCAGAAAGAATTTCTTTAGCATGAATATAAGCCTTAAACACGATTTCTTCAAGTAGTTTTTCTGTAATTGCAGTTGTTGTTGTAGATGTTGAAAATGCTGAAAATGTTTGCTGTGAATGCTTATGATGCTTAGGAAATATTATATTGTTCATATTAGTATCGGAAGACCATTGAATGCTTCGGAGAACGTCGAGTTTTTCAACGCGCTGTAGAAATTCGTTTACAGAAAAGTTCACGATGGATGAAAACGGACCGGACATTGAACGAGCTGCACGAAAGGTACTTTCACATATTTGAGAATTAAATAATGAAACATTTAAGGCTTCTTCAGTTATTGTTTGTTCCGCTATGAGTACAGCAAGGTATGTTAGGCTATGTGCATTTATTTCCAATGAGAAAAGAGAAGGTATAGTGACGAATAATTTGTATTTCGGAATAGATTTGTTGGAATCGATCGAGAGTACCCGCGAAAGTATTTCGTCTAATTCGTCAGAATCTGTTTCTTCCAGCCACGCAGACCAGAGACGAACAATAAATACCGCACACCACGAAAAATAAAGACGATCGACAATGTTAGTATTCTTATCAACAAATGCCAAACGAACGAATTGAATGATCTATCAAAAACAAATTAACAACATTTGAGCATTCAATAGTACTCATGAAAATGCAGTAACATGTTCAAAACTTAAGTCCATAAAAAGAATTCGAACCCCCACCCATACCACCTAGTCTCGACCAGGTTTTGAAGATTCCATTTTGACAGGATCCGAGTCCCAAATTTTTTGTATATGAATGAGCATTGAAAAATTTTTCTTAATCGTTAATTTTTAGAAAAATGATAGAATAAATTTAAATTTTCAGCATCCAAACAACTGTATTTTTCTAATTAGAATGGTTCGTCAAAAGTATCAACGCAAGCTGGGAGAGGGAACAAGTTTTATTCCTAAAAGTAAAATCCATTGAATCAGAAACTGGGTTTTAAAACTATTAAAGATCGGGTCTAGGTTCCGAATTCTTGCATTCAAAGGGCTCCAGTCAAAACTCTCGAATGTCTTGACTATAGCATACATATTGATATGCAAGTCATTTCATTTACACTCACTTAAAGGAATATAGTATTTTCTATGTAATATTATATCATTTTATAAGAAGAAAAAATTGTAAAATTTTACTTTCAGATAAGCTTGCGTTGCCCCCGAATTAGCGATTTTTCTGAGAACAGAAAATACAGCATTATTTGTGATTTTTTCGCAAGATCCATAGTTTTGTTTGTCCTTTGGACAAACATCTGATATTGTTAATCCGTGGTCGATCTTCGAATAATTGTCAATCAATTGTATGAGATGATGAATGCTGGCATGATGCTCTCCCATCAACAAAGTAGTTGTAGAAGATAAAAGACGATATCTTAATTTAGTACATAAATGTGTACCATCTTGTAAGCATACAAATAGTTGTCTTGGTTTTAAGAAAAACCATGAGGCTTTCTAAACGATACAAAAAAATGAAGATATCACTGTACTCATAAAACTGAGTAATCACTGTACTTGGATAATAAAAGTAATAATTTTATTTAAAAACTTCATTTTATTGTTAGAATTCGTGAGAAATTGTTTTTCTGTCTTTTGGTGACTCAGTTAAAAATATTATAATAAAAGTCAACTTTAATTCTACGGCAAATTCACGAATTACTACAGATATTTTCGAGAAAAACTTGTTCTATGAATTGGCAATATTTAGATGAAAGATTTATTGCTATCGACTAATGGATGTGAACCAAATTAATTGCTTTTTCCATTATATTTGATTGTGCAAGTATTAGGCAATCTCTCGAAAATCGATTTTAATCTTAGTAGTTGATTAAATCTTAATAAAATGCAATGTGATCGATAAACTTTTCTTTCATTCTGATCGATTGTTGAATTGCAATCAGATCTTTAGACTCTAAGTCTTATCTGTTTGAGAGACATTCAATCAAAAACCTATGAGGAGATATACTGCAACTGAATAAGCGCAATAAATAGTATAAGCATTTAAATCAAAAGAAATTATTAAAATGTTCATACTAGATTAAAGAGAAAAATAAGGTAAACAATGAACTGAATCAATTAATATCTATCTCATCTTGTTAATTAATTTTCTTTCACGAAATTTTCCCCTGCGTAAAGCAAATATTTATCGAATATTGTTTCTTCAAAGTATTTTTTTAATTCTGATAATATCCAGTCGCTTATTATTATCAAGCTGTTCTATCTTCGCTACACCATATGATCAATATGGACCAAAACGGATTACGAACAGTTTACTTCTCTTCATTTAGTTCAAGTCAATTTCCAATAAAATATTGTCAAGTCAAGATTACTGAACTCATTGAAGAGTGGTATAACGTGTCAAAAGGCAGATCTTTTTACAACTCTATGTTTGAAATCATTTTATAACTTTATGTATCAGCTTAAAAGAACTAGTTATTATGTTACAATCTATCTATTATGTCATATAAAATAACTCCTCGTTTTCGCTTTGAAAACTATTAATTCACCCACTTTAAGCATAGAAATTGTAAAATAATTTGGATGATCTTCAAACTTGGTTTGTTGTATTGAAAAAAATCCCATTGAATCTCGCATGGCCTTCAGGTATCTCGGATCGCAGTCCGTTGAAAATCCTAATATTCGTATATTTTGAGTCATACACGAATCAAAAATATTAAACCACCTGACGAGAACATCATCAGACGTATATATGCTATTAGTGCCATAAGCTGAAAGAAGAAAAGGTGGTGGTGGTGGTTGACCTATTGGACAGGTAATTTGAACCACATGTACATTGATGAGAGACGATCTGTCCACTTGCTCATACCACGTTTCAAGTTCACTTAACGAATTGGTAGAAAAATATCGAGTACATGGAAATCCGTTTTTAAGAGGAAGTGTAAATCCAATGAAACAGTTAGAACGTGTGTCGTAAGAGATTTTTGGTACGACGGAAGTACTATCTTCTCCACAAAATGAGTACTTGAGTTGGGTAGAATTGACAAAATTTTTAAGACGTTCATATTGAAATTCACCTTCAATGTAATGAAATTTCGAAGATGTAAGAGTCGATCGTAGACTAGTTAAACTAGGAATGGATCCTGCAAGATTAAGTCGAACAAATTCATAAACATTGCGCCCTCCTAAGATGAAGAGGGAAGTAGCAAAGTCTTTGATAGATTTTCCATAACGAAAAGACCTTTTAGAGCGTGTTATATTGTTTAACATATTCAAAATGAAATCCAATGCAAATTCAGACAATAAGTTCGACTCAAGACAATAGACAAGATCGATTAATAAAGGATATCGTTGAATAAGATCAGATGAAATTGTTAAAGGCTTGCTGGTTGATGATGATGATGATGATGATGAGTCATTAGGTGATATAAGAGAACGAAGTGAACGAATAAATTTTTCGAGTTTTAAACGTATGCCAGGCATGACGAAAAATGAATAGCTGTTGTTTTTATTTTTGACTGGAAAACCTAGAATTTCTTTAAGTGATGTTGTTCGATCTGATTCAAATTGAAGAATAAAGAAGACGTCGTCAATGTTAAGTAAATCCACTGAAGAATCGATCAGTTGAAATTTAAGTAATTCGACAACTTCTTCGCCACAAAATTTTTCAACAATGTAGTGAAAAGAGTCTCCACGTAGAGAAAGTGCATTACTTGGAAGAAGATAATTCATCTGAAATATATAGATATTCGAAAAAAAGTGGGACAGAAAAACAGAGTATGATAATAGTGTGTATAATGGTGAGAAAGTGTTATAGTTTCATAAAGCAATTTGTAATTGGCAATATCACCATACTGATAAGTCTATCATATATTTGATCTGATACAGAATCTTTCTTTCCAAAAACTAAATATCACAGGGTGATCGTAAGCAACAATTCGATTTAAAGCTCGAAGAAAGAAAAAAATTATATTTACAAACAGACATCTATATATATTAATGAAGATATTTCAATGAATTAATATACAAATAACATAATAGTTAATGATAAGAAAATATTTGACATAGGATTCGTTCTAAGAAAATCGAAATACGTTGTTCTTTTCCAAGCAGAATAAAGTTTATAAATGTTCATTTTTTAATTGATTCCTTCTTATTCTAATTGCTTGGATTGCAGAGTTGTTATGAATATGTTTTTTTTAACGTAAAACTCTTTTATGCTAAAGGAAATGGATTGTTTCAACTTTGAGTAAAGGAAAAAAAGGAAGAGTATTGGAAGAAAAAATGTCGAGTATATCAGCGTAGGCAGCGCCTTTATTTCATTTCAACATTTTGTCATTCGACATTTTTCTATTCAACAGTTTTTTAGATAACCGAAAAATTGAATAACATTGATAATCAAAAATTCTTTTCATATATACCATCCTTTTGAAAATTGTCTTTGACCTGATATTATCGCCTGTATGCTTAATTTAATCATCTTGCTTTTAAAATCAAAAACGAATAAAATATGTGCAATAGTCAAACGTGGTTGAAATAAAAATGATGAACATAATGAACGATAGAAGAAAAGAGAACGAAAACACGTGCTATGTTTCTGCTGCAGCTATATACACGATACAATGAAAATTCTTTGAACTTTTTGTTTCATTCTATTCTTTCTAGATTAACAGAAGAATTATCTGTACGAATATGTTTTCGGACTAAATCGAAAAAGGAGAGTTCTATTCTTCTTTCTATTTCTGGAATAAAAATACATATTTGATTGGTGCATATAAATACAAGCATATCTTGTTTCATTTTAGTCAAGTATTTTGAAAGTGCTCCAATAGTAAGCAAATAAAACTATTAACTTCGATTCAATTTCGACCAAGTAGAAAGATATTTCTGAATTAGAATCACTGCTTTTATATGATTTACAGTGATTTATGGCGAGTTAGAATGAGTTATGATGATCTAAGATGAGTTAAGGTGATCTAAGATGAGTTAAGGTGATCTAAGATGAGTTAAGGTGATCTAAGATGAGTTAAGGTGATCTAAGATGAGTTAAGGTGATCTAAGATGAGTTAATGTGAGTTATAGTGATTTATTTGATTGAAAATGAATTATGCTGATTTAACTGAGTTAATTTTGATTTTAAGCTGATTTAAATCAGTTGTTTCCCCCTTG